GTTCCAGTCCCTTCAGCATCTTTGTCACCCTCCTCTGGGCCTGTTCCAGCAGCTCCGTGTCTCTCTGGTCCTGAGGGCCCAGAACTGGACACAGAACTCCAGATGAGCTTCACCAGGGCTGAGTAGAGGGGCAGGATCACCTCCCTCAGCCTGCTGGCAATGCTCTCCCTGATGCACCCCAGGTACCACTGGCCCTCCTGGCCACAAGGGCACTGCTGGCTCATGGACACTTGGTGTCCACCAGGTCCTTCTTTGCAGAGCTGCTTTCCAGCAGTTTGGCCCCAAGCATGTGCTGGTCCCTGGGGTTATTCTTCCCCAGGTGCAGGATCCTGCATTTGCCTTTGTTGAATTTCAAATGGTCCCTTCCTGCCCATCTCCCAAACCTGCCCAGGTCCTTCTGAAGGGCTGCACAGCACTCAGGGGGATCAGTCCAAAGCTTCTATCCGCTTTGTGTCATCCATGAGCTTGCTGAGGAGGCATCTGAACATTCGTCCAAGTCACTGATGAATAAATTGAACAGTACTGGGCCCAGTGTTGAACCCTGGGGGACACCACTTGTGACAGGCCTCAAATCAGGCCCATGCCATTGATTACCACCCTCTGGGTTCTGCTGTTCAGCCAGTTCTCAATCCACCTCATTGTCCACTCATCCAGCCCATACTTCCTGAGTTTCCCTATGAGGATGTTGTGAGAGACAGTGTCAAAAGCCTTCCTGAGGTCAAGGTAGACAATATCCGCTTGCTCTCCCTTTATCCATCCAGGTAGTTTTTCCATCATGGAAGGCAGTCAGGTTGGTCAATCACGATTTACTTATCTTTAGTGAAATCATGCTTGACTACCTCTGATTGCCTTTGTGTCATCCATGTGGATATAGGTGGCCTCCAAAATGAGGTGCTCCATCACCTTTTTAGGGATCAAGGCGAGGCTGACTGGCCTCGTTGTTGTTGAGTGGGCCAATACTGGGCCCCATATTGAACCTTGTGGAGCACCACTCATGATGCCACTCATGACTCCTTGCCATTTTTGAAGACTGGGGTGACATTTGCTTTCTTGCAGTCCTCAGACACCTCTCCTGATCTCCATGACCTTTCAGAGATGACCAGAAGCAGTCTCACTATGATGTCTGCCAGCTCTCTCCAGCATTCATTGATGTGTTGTGTCAGGGCCTATGGACTTGTGGATTTCAAGTTTTCCTAGGTTTTCTCTAACCCAATCTGATGGTAATGACAGAGATTTTAAAATGTTGCATGATTTTTTAAAGGAAGAAAATTTAAGGATAAATTACAGCATTGCTCCCTATATACACCCTAAAGGGATGCCTATGAGTGACAGCATGGACAAGCTTCTGTTACAGCTCAATCTTTGGCCTCTGTGGATTGCTGACAAGCAACAGGTATTACAGGCATAACATGCTAACCACAGGGTGAGCCCAGCTCCATCAATAGTCAGAATAAGCAAAAGAGAAGGAATCATCAGGGGTAGAGGATTTAAATACCTTTGCGTAGGTAAATTATCAACTCATTTCACTGACCAAAGAGGGAATATCTCTGGAGACATTTTACTGAAGGCAGAAATGCAATTAGATTGTTACACAACTATTACAGTGTTTTTAGACAGAGAATTATTTTTAGTGCTGCAGAAGTATTAAATTATTAGAGCCAAACATGTGAAAGCAGAGAAGAGCACAGTTAAAAACTTTCCACGGTCTTTGGACTCCTAGATGGATTCATGTTTGAGGATTGGTTGATGTTCTCGCAGTTTACCTCTGTTGCATTCACCCATAAAGAGTGACATAAATGCCAGATTTTATTTCCTTTCAGAGCTAATGGCATTCTGGATATGCTGGAAATTTCTGTTGTCAGAAACACAGAAGTGTGTGCATTCATTGGCATACTTGTGTTCCTTGCCTCCTTCGTCTGGGTGAAAATTATAGGGATCAAAACATATCTGGCCCCAATGTCTTCATGCTAACATAACAGTGTGATTTGGAAGTGATGCATAACTGCTTCTGCATTTAAAAGGCAAGTTAGCAACATGGAGTCATTATGCATTGTTTTCATAAAAGTTTATTAATTGCATTTGCCATGCAGCTTTACATTTGAGATTATCCTCTGGTCCTTCTTCTTACACACTGTAGTTCATTTAGGTGGTCTAAATACCTAGGATCTGCTCCTATAAAGAGAAGCAAATCCTTCTTGTGAGATCCTGCTTGAAGTTAAGGACATGGTGGAGTCAGTTCCAGGGAGCACACAGCACATCCTCTGGCCTTGGCAGAGGTGGGGGGCTCCTCCTGTTCCACCGAGCCTGTGCGCTGAGCAGGTTGGATGCCAGTCTGAAATGTGAACTTCTGCAGTGACACTGCTGAAACTGTGAAAGAGCCTGCATTTGGCCGTGGTGTTGCTTCTCCCCAGTGCTGTCAACACCAAGACTCAGACTGCAACAGCAAAAGAGGAAGCTGCTGCTTCAGTGATTATTGTTCAGACATTGATGTACCCAACCATCTCTCCCTCTGCATCTCTCCACAGCACCATTTCTGCTGTATCTAATAATTGTGTTTCTTTATAAACAATGATTTAGGACAATTATTTAGCAATAGCATAGTTAAACCTTTAAGAGGTTATCTAGCAATGTCATTTTCTTGACTAATGTGTTCCTGCTGCCATGTCGTTTGTGAATAGACATGTGTTAGCCAGCTAGTGTGCTTCATCTGTGGTGACTTTGATTTATTTGCTCTGTAAATTGGGACTGAAGCAATAATGGAAAGTGACATTAATTGTTTAACAGAGTCCTCTTTGTCACATCCTCTGCTTTCTCTGGGGTGTTTGAATGTTGAAACTTGTACAAAACTAATTGAAATTGCTGTGATGAGGACCAGTGTCCGCTCAACTTTCTGTTCTTGAATGTCAGCACACTTGAATGTCTGTTTAAAGCATGAGAGTGGAGCAGCTAACAGCAAATATCAGGTTTTCTTCTGGCATGCTATTATTAAAGGAGGCATTCCCTGTTAGAAATAGCAACACTTCCAGCTTCATTGTCAGCTTTATAAGCTGCAAGGCTCAGCAGTGTGCCCCACCAGATGCACTTGCTGAAAACGTTCCTGGTATAGGGCTGGGGTCAGGCAGCCAAACCAGCCCATGGACACCCTTAGGCTCGAGGGCTGGCTCTCACACCATTCATCCCACCACCTGTGAGGGACTTGAAATGCCATTGGGAAAAAACACTGGTACACACTTTCTTGCCCAATATGCCTTTTCTCACTATTCTAGAAGTGACACGGTAATTTTTCTCTTTTCCTCTCAGAAAGTGGCTGTGAAAAGCTGAATTCGGAGCATGGCTTCATTTGGCTCCCTTCTGCCAATTTCATTCTCTACACACTGAATTATCACAGCTGTGTGCACATGTCTCCCTAGTATGGTGGAAATCACCTGACACCAAAATTTGGATACTTTTTCTCAGTGGATAAGTGCCTTTTGGCCTTTCAAGTAAATGCTTCTCCTTAGCATTAGCTTGCCTGAGTATTTATTTGTTTCTTGGAGATGGTGCCGTAAGCACCAGAACAGTGCTCTGCCTTAGCTTTCTAGCTCAAAGACAGCTTTTATGTTAGAAGCTATGAGGTGTGATTTGGCAGAGAAGCCTAGCAGGAGCAATTATCTGCGTGGTTTATGATCATCTCTGTTCAGAGTCTGCTAGATAAAAGTATTACTGAAAAAAGTCATGCTAAGGGGATACCCAGATTCACTTGATTATTTTTTTTCCAAAGTGTAACTTGGCAATGTTTTGCTGTTGCTTTTTTTAACTTCTTTTTTTTGCTTGTTTGTTTGTCTTGCTGGTATTATTTGTCCTGCTAGTTCACTTTCTTACTTTGAGATTTGAACTTAGCTGAAATTTTTTCACAGTGGGGACCTGGAGCATGATGAGCTGCTCTGAAGCCGGTGGAGAAACTCCCAATTTGATATCACTTGAATCAGTGAAAGGCTTTTCATTTACTTCAACAGCACTAGGATCAGCCTAGGAGTCCTAGATAATTGATCTGTCAAGATCAATTTCCAATCTCTCTGAAAACTAAATATAATGATTTTTACACAGTTCTATTTCTCAGTTCTAACTCTCAGCACTCAAAAAATCTGTATCTTAATATACAGTAGGGACTATATTTCATTAAAAATCAGGAGGTGCTTAAATTTACTCAATTTGACAAAAAGAAGTCTTGCTGCTGAAATAAGATATAAATTAACATTACAGGCACTTCTGATTAGAAATTAATCTATTTTTTATAATTGCAGTCAGAATTTGATAAATGCATACAATAGTGTATTGAGCACTCAAAAGACACAATTTGAAAGGACAACTTCAAAGGCAACCTCCCTAATATGTTTCTTTAAAAGAAACCCAAACAACCTGTCATTTACCATAGGAGTGCTGCTGGCTATTCTTACACCAGAATACTCAGGAATAAGAAGCTGTTTTATTTTGGAGCAAGGATTTGCAGAAATGTGGAAGGGAAACCCTTTCTTGCTTACACTGGACCATATATGTGAATGAAGTTTTCAGTGTTTTTCTGGTGATTCGTTTTGGTGTCCTGATTAGCTGTCTGATTCCTGTAATTTTGTCATGTCAGTTAGCTGGTGTTCAGTGTTGAAGAGCAAAAGAAAGGGACAGCCTGGGCTGACACCATCATTAGGTGTCAGCATCTTAGGCTCATCCTGTAATACAATCCCTGAGTGATCACTTATCATTCTTAACACCTGACAAAAGAAAGAATTGTGGAAGAAAAGTAAACTCGCATTACGCCATGAGTGCAAAGAGATTTCTTTTGAACAGAAATGGATCATTTTATTGTACCTAATTACATTGTCTGAGATTCTGTTGCAGGTTGCTGTTCCAAGGGCCAGTTTAACTATGAGTTGTCTGCTTGTTCACACACAGAGGCATCATTTTGTTCCTTTTCTCACATCGTTTTTTCCTTTTCTTTCCTCTTTTTATTTCGTGCTCTCCCACAGAAACTAGATGAAGAGAGCGAGGCAAACTTGCTAGCAGTTCTCACAGAAACACTGGACAGCATCCCTGTGGATGAGGATGGATTGCCTTCCTTTGATGCACTGACAGATGGAGATGTGACCAACGAAAATGCCGCTAGCCCCTCCCCAGTGCCCGACGGCGCCCCTCCGACCCAGGAGGCAGAAGAGCCGTCTCTAGTAAGAACCCTTCCTACTGTTTAACAGGAATTGGATGTGCCTCTGGCCACCCGCTGCATGGGTATGATGTAGTCACAGTAAGGTCTGGACTTTTCATTTAGACTGGAGAGGAAAATCGAGTAAAGAACTGAGAATTAAGTGGGGGAAACCACCCCCCACCAAATAGCCATAGGATGATTAATATGGCAGTCTATTAAAAAGTTGTTGAAAAGGTTGTTTTTGAAACTCTTAAGCTAATGGGGCTGACATTTTTGCTTATCATTCTGTTCAGATGAGTCGGGGTAATGGTTCTTAACTCATATTTCATTTCTCGGGGCTCTTTTTGTTGTGTGTGTTTAGACATCATTTTTGGTGATCTCTGAAGAAAGGCCCAATGAGTCTGTTGGGATGCAGGGCTGATTTTGTGTCTTTAACATCGATTTGACCAGTAAGCATCAGCTTAATGCTAACCAGGGCAAAACTGAATCCTGGGTGAGGATGTGGGTGAAACATTATATGCATTTTGCTTAGTAAATCTGGTTTGTGATGTGATTGTGTTTCTGCTGAAAGCCTCTTATCACTGGCTTCAGTGGGAACAGAGCCAGATACCTGAATCTTGACACCGTATCCATTACTCTGTTAAAGTTTATGTCTCTGTATAGATCAGAGGCCTCTTCATGTCAAAGAGATCACTGAGAATTTCATTTTGCCCTGGATTCAGAGATCCATGATCCCTGTCAGTTCTGCTTGCCACTCAGTATACTGCAGTAAAGGGAGCAGAAATGTGCTGCCAAGCCAGAAGGAAATGAAATCTGTTTACTCTGAGGAATATCAAGTCCTGCTTTTTGTTTTATTGTACTTTGCTTGCTGAAATTGATATAACTAACTTTAAGTAACTATGCAGAAATGTAGATAAGTCACTTTAATTGATAAAGATGTGTAACTCTTTTCCTTCCACCTCCCTTTCCCTGATGTGTTTGTAGCTTAAGAAGCTCTTGCTGGCTCCAGCCAACACTCAGCTAAATTACAATGAATGCAGTGGTCTCAGCACACAAAACCATGCAAACACTAATCACAGGATCAGAACAAGCCCTGTGGTTGTTAAGGTACAAACTTAATTTTTATAATAAGGGGAAAAAAAAGAAAATGTAACAAGATCTTTTATGCTTTTAGCAATCAAGCAAGAAGTAGATCTGAATGTATTGTATGTGCTTACTATCTTCTAACTAATTTTTAAAAAATGTGAGTTGTAGACTGGGTTCCAGAAAATCATCTGAGCTCTTTTATGCTCTGAATATTTCATTTATGCCCCTTCTTTTGGCAGAGTTCAGTTGTAGTCACACCGTCTGTTACTCTTACCTACTTTACTGATACACAGAGTAGGATGGGATGTGATAAAATTTGCTGATGGATTGGTGTTGTTTATGGGTGACTCCAGGATGTGGGACTGCCATTTCCCCAGCTGTCTGACCTAAGACAAATGACACTGGATTCTTGGCAAAAGATGTATATTAAACATTGGTTGGATGGAATGGGGGGCTTGGACGTAATTCTGTTAGCAGGCAGTATTAAACAATGTTTGTCTTGCCGTTCAGTGTAACTGAAAACGGGCCATTTAGGAGTACTTAAGAGAGTTGTGAATACTGGGCCCAAGCAATCAGCAGCAAATTAAGGTTTAAACCAGCTTATTTTTTTGTTCACACTAAAGGCGCTGTAGGGTCTTGTTAGTTACATGTTGCTGAGTAGGAACATTGCAGTGTAGGAGAAATGAAATAAAAAGCTGCATAAATGTCATTTAGGAATTTTAAATGTAATTTTCTTTCCTTGTTCTGCAAATAGTTATTCACAGCTCATAGATCTAGTACACTTAGGCTGAACACTTCATTGAAAATCTCATCTCTTCAGAAAACCTATATCCATTTTGATAAGGTTCAGCTCACTAATTTTAGCTTTACTTTATTTTATTTTATTATTTTATTTTACCCTGTTTTAAGACTGAGAATTCATGGAGCAATAAAGCGAAGAGCATTTGTCAACAGCAAAAGCCTCAGAGACGCCCCTGCTCTGAACTTCTCAAATATCTGACTACGAATGATGATCCTCCTCAGACCAAACCAGCAGAGAACAGGAACAGCAGCAAAGAGAAATGCACCTCCAAAAGGAAGCCCCATCTGCAGTCTCAGACAAATCATCTGCAGGGTAGGTGTGGGACTGCAGAATACAGCTTTGGTACCAGCAGTAACCCTGGGAAACTGAAGTACCATGGTTGGGAATACCCTCAGTACTTCTTCTGTTCTTTGGATTAGTATTGGAAACCCAGCATCACTTCTGTGTAAAGAGAATTTTTAAACAGTATTATGAAGTTGGAATTAGTTAGCTAGATTTAGCTTTTAGACATATTTGATTATTTTGTTTATTGCCCCAAGCCTCAGAAAACGATCTCAGGAAAAGTTTAGCAAATACCACATGGCAATATACCAAGCTAGCTGGAGGGAAGTGTAGCACTAAGAAATCATTATACCCCTAAACAAGTTCGGCAGGTCAGTTCATTAGTGAGCTTCTTTCTCTGTTGCTGGAGTAAAACTGAGGGCATTGTTAACCTGCCACATAGCTCTTAAGAGACAATAAATAGTGCTCTCACTGCTACAGAGAAAACAATAAATGTGTCATTCCTGTTAAAGCTGGAATGCTGGTTTGTAATTTTATTTGTAAATAGTTGAAAGTTTAGATGCTATCCTGATCTTTCTCTCTTGTTTTTGGATTTTTTATGGTCAAAACTAAACACTTCTGTTGACTTTTAGTATCCCCTGATGTGTAAAAAACTGGTCTATATTACAAGTAGTTTCTGTGACAGAGATGCAAGAACTTAAAGCTTCCTCTCTCACTTTCTCTCCCTCTCTTTCCCTCTGTTTTCCCACGATAAAGGAAAGCTGTCAAAGCTTACGAACCCAAAGGGAGCTTTTTAAAATTATTGCTACTTTAAAATACATCTATGTATTGATGTTGGCCTGGCATCTGAAAGGCTTTGTGCCTGCCTCAGACACATCGGTACCAATCCTGGATGCCTCCACTAAAGTCAGTGGAAGTTACCTGTCTGCAACAAAGATCAGGATGTGACCTTAAATGTGGTGTTTGGTATTTTCAAAGCAACAGTTGTAAACTGTATGTTCTTTCTTCTTTTCCCCTCCCTCTTTCTTGCATTTCAACCTCTATCAAATCTGTTTTCTCATTCTGCACTAGGAAGTATAAGCAAACCTAATAAAAATAATCTTCCCTTCCTGTCAGTTAATATTGTTCTAGCAGCTGTACATTCTGACATTCTAAGTAAGGGTTTTCTCCATTATGGGCTCAAATTATCTGAACAATATTTCTCATATGAAGGAAATCCAACTGCTCCTAAAGCTTCTTTCTGCCAACTGCCACTTCTTCTGGATGGCTTTATCAGTCTGCTTTCACAGCAGAATTCAGACTGAACTCTACGTGTGAAACCTGGGTCTGTTACTGCAATGGTACTGAAAAACAGAACTGCCAGAAGTTACAGGGGGCTTTATTAACACTGTTGGATGTTAAGGTGGCAGGTGATAAGGTGCATCATGTATAACATGCTCTATGCACATGTATGTTATACCCATACAGAGATACATGTGCACACAAGCATGCGTGCAGATTACAAAGTCCTTCTATTCAGATCAGAGCTGCTTTTTTTCCCCCAGCTGAGCAATTGTGTAGATTCAGTTCAAAGAGTCAGGGCACACTGAGCTGTGGAAACAACACGGAGGAGAGGTTAGGAAAGTCCAAAGGGACATATAGCTAACAACTGTGCTAAACAGATGACTGTGATTTTAGTGGTCTTGCAGGTGAATTTGCAGGCACAGAGAAATTACCTTCTTTAATTTTCCTGTGCTTTAATTTACAGGCTTCTGAAATGTTTTTTCAGCAAATTTGCCTCATGCACCAATATATAACTTCAATATCAATGGATTTGCATATAATGTAAATACAAGAATATAATGCTTTCAGCTTGGACAGTCAATTCATGCAGAATCAACCTTGCAAATTTAACTGATATTTGCAGACCTGCAGTCATTGGTTCATACATTTAATCAAAGGTACAAGAAAATTGGCTTCTTCTGTTTTAAAAAACTATCACAGTCTGAGGTTTTCTTTCAGACTTAGGGAAAGCTCACAAAGGATAAGTCAAATGTTATTTTCCTCTAGGGTGACTGTTGAAAACATATTGCAAACCCACGGGAATGTCCACAAACGCATTCATGCCAAAGATCATCTGTGGTTTTGCACTGAAATTTGCCCATGAGGAGACATAGTTCTTTTGAACCTGAATGTTTTCAATTTACAGGGACAAGCAACTTGATGTGAACTCTTTTTAATTTAAAAAAAAAAAAAAACACACTACAGTAGACCTTGAAACTCTAAAAAACAGGCACCATGTAAAATGACAATGTCTTGGCTAAATATTTACACTATCAATAGCTGAATGTGAGTATGAATCCTTTGCAGAAAGAGTGTTTGGTCAAGCTCTTGCCTAGCAATAAGAAAACTGATGGATGTTCTGGTATGTGAACTTCTCAGTGGGAGAGCTCAGTGATATCTGCCTAAAATTAATACATGGGAGTGTGAGATAATGCCTTGGTTCTCTGCCCATCTCTGGCAGATTTGCACTGTCCCTCAGTGCTTCAGAATTTAATAAGAGTATACTCTGATATGCAACTATTCTGTGGGACTAATAAGAGCTAGAAAGAGACTTTTAAGAGACGTAAATAGCTCTTACACATTCAGCTTCCTTAGCCTAAATTGGTTAAGAGTGTGCCAATTTTTATTTCAAAATAAAAAAAAAATAAGGAAGGACTCTGTATAAAACTTTATTCCAGAGCCTTACTGCAAGATCTGTTTTTTTTAAGCCAATTTTACCTCTATGTAGCCACAGGCAAACATTAGTATTCCTAGATGTATATAAATTGCACATAAAGATGTGTCAGGTTGCATTCAGTTTTACTGCACCTGCTGTAATGCACAGATCAGTGACTGTGCTGGACCAGACAAATAACTCGTTGAGGTGCATCTCCTCACTCCAGCAGTGACTTCTGAGGAAGGTGAACCTGAGGTGAACACCTGAGCTTCCTTTTCTCATATGGGGAGGAGAAGAAACAATGTGCAGCTTTTGAGAATTAATTTTTTAAAATGTTATATTACTTCAGGAATGCTCTAGAGCATATAAAAGTAATCAATTTGCATATAAAATCCCTTAATGTTGATGGGAGCTCCAAGCCTGTAATGAATATGAAATATGCAGTAGTGACACTCTGGACAAAAGATCTGCAGTGCAGGAGTGTTCAAGGGGAACATTTTGTCTTAAGTAATTAATCTGCAGAAGAGATCCCCTGCTGTTGTTCCTGCTACAATGCTCTCTGTGTTTAAAACATCAATCTAACTTCTGAAAAGTAAAATTTGCAAGTACTATAATTTTTAATTTTAAAGGCATCTTAGTTGTATTACAACATCCTGGTTCTTGGCTTGCTCTGAGAAAATACAATTTTGCATGAGGAAAAGCTGCAAAGACTTACATTTTTATAGCCAGAGCTTTGTTTTTTTGCGTATGTCGGGATTGTAGTGCTGAGAGCTTCAACCCCATTTTTAACCATCTGTGACTATGTCCATGGTTTGTGGTAGTTTGCAGCATAATTTGCAAAAATTTGGACTATAACTGGTTGGACTCTGGCCTCATAGAAACAACCTATTCTCAGTACTGTATATGAAATTGTATCTTGTAAAATTAACTGAATATTCATAACGTTCTGTTACTTTGTAGTTATTCTGCTGCTCCTGTTTCCAAATAAAACGTGAACTGTAGTATAAATTAACACTGAGAGAAGTAACATTTTCACAGTGTATCCTGTAGAGTTCTTCATTGATTTTTAACATGTACCACTCTTCTTCTGAAATGTTCTTGTCATTTGGGTTGTCTACTGTATTTCAGAGGTACAGTAATTGATGTAAATAATTGTTGAAATTTAGGTGCCCTTTTAGTGCTAGTGAATAAGGAATCGGGATGTGTCTCTTTACTTATCTATCTGAGATACACTGAAATGGCAATTGCACTATTAGAGCTTGGCCCTAACTGACTACCACATGATTCCAATGCCAAAGTATAAAGAAATGTTTGCAGTATACTTTACAGAGTGTTTAAATATTGCATAATTGTTTTTTTTTTTCCTTTAGCCAAACCAACAAGTTTATCACTTCCATTGACACCCGAGTCACCAAAGTAAGTACTAAAAAGTGCAAACATTTATAAAAGGGAGGGGGGTTCAGTAGATTTTGGCTACAGCAACTCCATTTCAGCTTGTTTTTATAAATGTGCCCTGTCTTCCAGTGATCCCAAGGGTTCCCCATTTGAGAACAAGACTATTGAACAAACCTTAAGTGTGGAACTCTCTGGAACTGCAGGTGAGACATGCAAAATGACTGCTCTTTCTTTAAGCATGGCTTGTGTGTGTTTGTTTACTTTATTATAGCACAAATGTGCTGAGATCTCACAGAAGTCTCCAGTAGATTCACTTCAGTGCAGTTCAGCATTACATTTTTATCCAGCTACCTGAGAAGAAACGTGTTTGAAAATACGGTTCCAAACCTACACAGGAGAGCATAATTTCTGAGAAAATATGAATGAAACCATTTATCTGTTATATTTCTCCATTTCCCCATAGATTTGTGTACAGCTGAGCACCATCTTTCAAAGACAAACCCCACAGCACAGTGTAATAGATGTTGCAGATGTAAAAGTTATGTCATTCAGTCTGTCTACAGGCCGGTCTGTGGCTGTACATGACTGCATGTTTCAGTGCTTTGTCATTTCTAGATGAATACATCACAAATAACAGCTTTCTCCTCTACCACTGAACAACTAATTGTCCCATAGTTTAGAGGTAATTTTTAAAAGTGGTATTCATTTTGTATTCCTGCTTTTTCTTTTTCTTCCATTAACACACTTCACACAACCTCCCTTTATCTTCCTCCTCCTTTCTGATCCCTGGATTTGTACCTTTTGAAGATTTGTAGGATTTTTTTATCATATAGTGGTTTAGTTCGTGCATCACCCATTTAATCATTCGTTTAATTTGTCTGCTCTTCTTTCTGCTGAAGTCAATTCCTTCAGACTCAGATCTGTTTTATGGCATTCCTCTGAACTCTTTTTTGCCTCTGTTTTCTTCAAGTGTCCTGAGCTGAGCACAAAAGAACACATTGAGCTCCACCTGAGCTATTGCCAAGACCATTTTCTTTCTCAGTTGTGTAATATTGAAAATTAAGAGATGTACTTGGCACGTGCTTCTCTCAGGATAGCAGTAGGTTGTAAACTATCTGATCTCTAGCATTGTGGGGGAAGGGGTGTATTGCAAAAAAGGTCTTGAGGTACCACAAATTAACTTGGTGCTCCTGAATTCAGTGGCAGCAGGCCCAGGCTGGGTTTGGGTAGGTACACTGGGCTATCACCTTCCTACAACCATCATTTTACTTTTTCAGAAATTTTTTCATTAGTTCAGCACTAAAACATGAACACTTTTCCCTGCTGTCTCCTGGAAGCCTGCAGTCTTAGTCATTCCTCTCACAGCAAAAGGAAGCATTCTTCCTACACATCTTCATTTTGCAAGACCAACATAAACATGGCAAAATTCACTGTATGCAGGAGGATAATCCTATTCAGTGCCAGTAAGTGAAGTGGAGTGGAGTGAAGTGAAGCATGGAGAAGCCTCTTCCATCACTACAGGACAGCAAGTCTGCACAAGGGTGCCCATTTGTAAGCACATGGATAAGTCAGTGCTTAGTGCTGCCAACAGAAAGGGGCAGATGAGGTGACTACAGCAGAGTGGTACAAGCAGCCGTTGAAATCACTGAAGGAAGCAGTGTTTTCTCCCAGCCAAAAAGTCAGCAGCCTGCTTTTCCATCAGCTGACTAGACAGAAATTGGGAGTCAGTCTGACCCCTGGACAATCCTCTGGTATTTTGTCCATAGTGGCAACAGGAATGGTCTTGGTATTACCAGATTCATTCCGCTCCATCAGCCGTGCACAGAGGAGGAAACAAAACAGCTCTGTAGGTGCTTGGAAAACATAATCAGGAGAACTGGTGCATTAAAAAAGCAACAGAAGCTGGGAAACAGCACAACTGGCCACATGTGTAAACAGGAATGCTCTACTATGATTCTGTGATTTCTTTTCCCCGCTACAAGTAAAAGAAGTTAGCGAGGAAATAACCTGATGATATTCAGGAATAATGAGTATTGGAGTGTTGTGTGGCCAGGGAGCTGGGCAGTGTTACCAAGCAGTGCACATAATGGTGGCTCTTGGACTTCATGTTGCACTTCACAAGATTTCAGGAGATGATGCAGTAACTATTTTAACCTCTTCCTATGTGTATTAGTTTTTATTTTTATATTCATGTATGTATGTAAACCTATAAAAATATGCATGTCTTGCTTTTTAAGTAATTTGTACTGCAGTAGTTTTGTGTCCTGAGTCTGCTTGTGCTGGAAGCAAAGTACGTAATAGAAACAGCCTGGAGTAGTTAAGAACTTATAGCATATTGTGTGTGTGCATGTGTGTGTAAATCATGGCAGAATTGGGACCCATTTCAGTTTGAAAAACAACCAAAACTAAAATAAGGAAAAAAGTAGTGGTAGTAGTGATTAATAATACCTTGAAGTTTTTTAGTGAGAACCCTGGCAACTCCAAATTATATCCAGATAACCGCATTGCTCATTGTCCTTATATAGGGCAGCTTGCACCATACAAGCACTATTTATTATAATTTAAATAGGAGTTACCTTGATCTCACTACTGAATTGAAAAGACCATTAGCAGTGCTGCTTGCACTATCGAAGCACAAAGTATTTTAATATAAATAGCAACTCCCTTGATCTTTCTGCTGAAAACAACATTGCTTCCCTCACTGATGAATTAACTATAGACCAGAAAAATAAATAAATAAAAACATTTCCCACATGAGCCATCAATCTTCGTCACACACACATTTTGGATTCATGTATCTAAAGTTAAACTGAAGCCATTCTCTTGCCAGTGCTACATCTTGCTTTACAACAGATTTGTTAGTAGTCATGAGTGTAACTTTGTCCTCCCTAAAACTGTCAAAACATCGATTTGTCAAATTACAAGGAACAAATATTCTTTGAAGTGTTTTCATGCCACGCATAAGAATTCTTTCAATGCACTGTAAGTAAGTGTCCTAAGTCCATTGCTGTATAAAGTCCTATCTCTTGAAGTTGATTATTCTAGTGTTATTCTGAGGAAGCTGGACCAGAACATCATGGCATGGAGGGAGTCCTAGGAAATGATAATGCAGTGAATGAAATTCTTGTGTCAGATGAGTCTTCTGAGTGAGGGACTCAGAAGAGATGCATCTCTTTTTCAACAGCCATCTGCATTGCCCTCCTTGAAGAGGCTGTGGGCTTGAACCTCTCCAGTGTCTCCCAGAAATCTGGGATGGGTCTGTGTCACCTCTTTCCTCTTTGTTAGCAGTCAGGATGAGGGGGCAGGGTGGGGCAGGGAGGGATGGGCTGTGCAAACAGACTCACCAGGATGACTCACCTTCTGGAGGTGGCAATGTTTCTCTTGGCAGTCAAGGGCTCCTCATTGTTTTAGACTTTCGATTGTCTTAGACAAACGTCTGAATGCCAGATATTAGATAGCATAGCTTCTAATTAATCTCTCTCTGTTCCCTGTGTCTTAAACCTTCACACCTAAATACTCAAACACGAAGTTGGTTTAAGTGCTTATGGCTCAATCAGTAACTAGAGGGCTATTTCCACCCTCTTGGTGAAAAGTCTCTAATTTGATACAGATCCCTATAATTTATTGTAGTGTAAAACTGCTCACTGGTCTTGTGGGAAAAACTTGACTTTTCTGAAAAATGGCAGAAAAAGCTATATTTTCTGTCATCAGAAAAGCTGATGTGCACAATCAAGTTGAAGAGTGATTTGGAACATGGTTGAGGATACTGATAACCTGCTATTTGCCCACCTCTAGATTTGTGTTGCCTCTTACTTGTCAGAAAAAAATACTTAAAAATCTGTCATCTAAGAACTTCTTTGACCTCAGAATGATTTCCGATAAAATGAGATGTGAGATGGAGAGAGTTGTCCAGAAGGAATAAAATCTAGTGAAATATTTGATGTTTTCAGGCATCTATGTTTATTCTCTCCAGCACTGACAACAGGATTAAACTGAATATTCAACAAGCATGTAGTTTTATATGATGACTGTTTAATTTTATTACATTTTCCTAGCTTCTGCAATTTAGTGCCATACAAACACTCTTCTACTGAATGAAGCTGTTATCTTGTGGTCAGTTTTTAAAGTGGCCTTAAATAATGTTTCTCTTGACAATCCATTTTCAAAATCATAGGTATGAAAGAATTCATTTTCAATGCCTCTCAAAAGCCCAGTGCACATGTAGAAAGGTTCCAGGGCTGCGTTCCCCAAAAGACATTAATTATCAGCCCACTCAAAACACAGCAAACATCATCAAACATTGGAATGCTGAGATACCGTAGAGATTTAGAAATATCTGTGTCTATGTAAAACAGTAGTGAAAATCAGTCCTAAGAAGTCCAGATGTCACTTTTAATGCAAAGGCAAAGGCACTCCCCCCCCTAATTTCTGCTTATCAACCTAGCTGAGCTAAATGAGTAACACTTTTTTTTTACAAGTTTTTTTTAAAGTGGAGTTTTGGAATGTATCGAAAGTAGTTTCACCCTCCCAGAGATTTCTGGAAGGAAGTTACTTGGCCAAGGTGGCAGAGTTGGCACATATGCAAACAGCTTTTGTTGCACAGACACAGGGAGGATGGTGCTGCTTTGGCAGCAGTGCTGGCAATTTGATATATGCTGTTTTCTAGCACAAGATCACGGAGTGAGTTCGTAGTGTATAGACAGAGCAAGGCAAAGTGCAAACGTACCATTTACCAAAGCTATTCAATTAAGGAAAAGTCCCTACAAAGAAAATGGTTTTATAGCATGTCATGAAAAAATACTTGCCTTCTACTTTAAAAAGAAAAAAGACTGTTTAAGGGGGATGATTGTAGAGTATGTACCACTTCTAACAGATTTGCTGTGCAGAAGTACATAAGTGTGAGTGATGTAGAGGTACTTGTTTATTATAGAGCACATTTCAATGCAGTAATCATAAATATTGCTAAGGTTGTGCTCTGTTGAAATATGACCTACATACTCTTGATTGTTTGTGTTACGTGATTTGTCTGACACCCATTACATTCTGGGTAATGGCAGCCATTTGTTGCTGTGCACAGCAGGCTCTTTTGACAAAAGAAAATAGGCAGCAATAAAAAAGCTATAGTCTGAATTACATTCTGCACAGCGCTGCACTGCTGAGAGTTTGTGCAAGTGTGTTAACAATGCTCTGAACTGCCTCTTGTCAGCCTTCAGCCTGTAATGGCCATCTGTCCTTCCATAAATCTGTCAAAACCTGCTAAGTTCAAGAGAGAGTACAGAATATACCTTGTACTGTCAATGCCTAAATGTACACACTGGGGAGAAATCAGTGTGCGTGAAATAATCCAGTGGTTACAGAATATTGTAATGCCATTGATGTGGGAGGGTGGCCCTCGGTGGGGATTACCAGGGATTAGGGTGAAGATGAACAAGTGTGCAGCCAGCTGGTTTTCTCAGAATTCTCCATTTGGAGATAGGTTAGGGGGCACTCTGGAGGTGCACTTGGAGTGGTGACGTGTGATCAAAACTTCGCTCCCTCCTCCATCCCCCAGTGTAGGTTTGTTCAAAAGGTAAATGAACATTTTCCATCTTTTATCTGTTTCTACTTGCCTGTGCACTTCCTGCTTCTGCTGAAATCCAGGAAAAAAGCCAGAATGCCATGAGGAAGCCCTTTCTTAGGCTGTCCCAGCCCTGTTCTGCCAGCAAGGGAAGTGCCAGTAAATTTAGCTCAGGCTGTACTTTCGTGAGGGTTTTTTTTGGTACTTCCCCCCCCCACTTTTCTGAAGATTATTGGGCTCTTTGTCAGGTTTCTGGAAATGTTGACTATATGTTTTACTTGCTTATTTCCAGGACAAGCTTTAAAGAAGTGGAATTTGAAATAAGATTTTATTTTGAATATTGGATTATGTCTGAGGTTTCTTTGCCTGAAATTCTTAAATATAAATGTTCATTGTGGAGTGTTTGTATTTTTGTTTAATTCTTTCTTTAAAATTACATCCAAAAACCTAGTAACTAACCCCAGAATTTCTTATAAACTGTATAACTTCACAAGTAAAAGTGTCATTTTAAAATTATGTTTCTAGAAAGTTGTTTACTGAAGTATTTGTTCAATCTGAGCCTGAAGCTTTAACTTTGAAATTATTACTGCAGATTTTTGAATAGGACTGTTCTCTTAATTTTAGCAAAAATTCACTTGGTAGTCAAAAATATTTTTCAGTGAGGAGGTGCATAAAGTAAGAAATAGTTAGGGCTGTCTCAAGTGAATTTTTGGGAAGAAGAAAAAGAAATTTGAGGACTTAGAGGAAATAATTTAACAGTGATGGCTGCACAAAATTTTTTTAGTATTAAATTTAAATTTGGGGTAACTAATATTTTAGGTGCCATAAACTTTGCCTCAGTTTCCTTGACTTTTGCGGTATTAGGCAAAGTCTTTGCATAGCCATGGGTAGCTCATAACCATTTTTTCCAAATAGAAAATCAAGTGTGTCTCTCACATTAAGTATTCATGCCTTGGTACTTCTATTTTCTTATTTGCTGAAAGAAATTCATTGCAGATAATGCAGTGGGACTCCCAGTCTCCATTTATGCTCCTTAGGGAGCACTGTGCATTGATGGACACTTTTCCTTCTTTACAGCAAAACACTATAAAACATGTTCCATTTGCATTGATCTGCCAAGCTGTGTTGCATGTTTAAAAATACAAACCAGAGCTCTATAACCATGTTTGAAACACACATTTCCTGTAACTCTGTCTGCCCTCTGTTTTCATTCTTGCTTAAGAACTAATGGAAAGCTCATTGCTTGGGCTAAAAGTATTCTTGGACAGCATGAGCATCTGGATTGCTTAGGGATGGTCTGGATTACCTTGGAGAACTCCCTAATCTCTGTCTATTTTGTTACATTTTAAGCCTACGTTACTAAATTATATTAGTGTCAATTGGACAGAAGCAAATTTTTGAAACCTAACATACTAAGTACCTTCCTGAGGAGAAATGATTTCCTGAACAGTGTCTGCTTTTTTCTGTTATTCTGCCCTGATGTCTGGGATTATCCTTCGGTAAAGTCTGAAGAAATTCTATGATTTCTTTAGAAAATATTGAAAGTTATATTCTACCTTTATAAAAATAATGGCAAGATGCTGCTTCAGTTCCCAGGCATTTCTAGAATGTACTGTAGTTCTTCCTACAATTTTGTCTCATCACAGTGATACAACCTATTACAGTTACGTAAATAATCCTGTTAGTTAGCAAAATATTTAGTCATTGAATACTAATGTAATACTAACCTAATAACTAATACTAAGACTTACCTGTTTCATTTTGACTCCCTACTGCATGATTCTCACTGTGATTTAGTTCTAAATGTGAAGGTTCAGTACACTTGTGGTTATAGTATTGTGCATTTGAGTTTCAGATGCAGAACCACATTTCAGGCAAAATGTATGAATTACGCTCAACAAGTGTGTTAGACATAGATTCTCAATGGTTAATGAACTCTGGAAACAGAGAGTCATTGCCACTGAGTTAGAATGGCTCTATTTCATTGCATTTAAGTTCTGCATCCTTTGGTACCCCTCATTTATTTCTCTTGGGCGTGCTTTTATCCAGGTTCTTCTTTGCTAGGTTCTTTATGTTTTTGATGGTGACAGTCTTTTGACTTTTCATTTTTACATCAAAATCTGTTTTGTATTTAACAAAAAGTCTTTGGAATTTTATCTCTTGATCTTTTCTATCAAAACCTACAGAGAGAAGGGCGGATGTCATAGAGGAAGGGGAGGGACAGAAATTATGCTGGAGATCGATGGCCATGCATTAGTATTGTTGCTATTGTTGTTACCAGACCTTTGGTAGTTTTATTCTCAGTATTGGCAGTGTTGAAGTGACATAAAATGGGTCTTGCTTTGTATCTATTTTAAGAAGCATATGAGCCACCTTTATAAACATTGTATGTGTGCTTAAAAGCATTCTGTACCTCCTTTTACTCCCTGTAGGCCTAACTCCACCTACGACCCCTCCTCATAAAGCCAACCAAGATAATCCTTTTAGGACTTCACCTAAACTGAAGTCATCATGCAAGACTGTTGTACCACCTTCAAAAAAGCCCCGCTGTAGTGAGTCTTCCAGTTCTCCAGGAAATAACCCAACCAAGAAGGGTCCAGACCAGTCTGAGCTGTACACACAGTTTAACAAGACTACCGTTCTGTCCAGTGGACATGAGGAGAGAAAGACAAAACGGCCCAGTTTGCGGCTGTTTGGTGACCATGACTACTGTCAATCTGTGAATTCAAAATCGGAAATACACATTAAAATATCCCAGGAACTTCAGGACTCCAGACAACCAGAATTTAAGGATTCTTCACCTGGGTGGCAGTGTCAGATTTGTTCTTCTTTAGAACAAGACCAGTATTTCAAGAAAGAGACTTTACAGACAGATAAGCAGGGATTCCATGGTAATAACAGAAAACAGCTCCAAGACCAGGAAATTCGGGCTGAACTGAATAAGCATTTTGGTCACCCCAGCCAAGCTGTTTTTGATGAAGAAGCAGATAAGAGCAGAGAACTAAGGGACAGTGATTACAGTAATGAACAATTCTCCAAACTACCTATGTTTATAAATTCAGGACTAGCAATGGATGGTCTGTTTGATGACAGTGAAGATGAAAGTGATAAACCATGCTACCCTTGGGATGGGACACAAGCCTATTCATTATTTGATGTATCACCTTCTTGCTCTTCTTTTAACTCTCCATGCAGAGATTCAGTGTCTCCACCCAAATCCTTATTTTCTCAAAGATCCCAAAGGACACGCTCTAGATCAAGGTCCTTTCCTCAACGCAGGTCTTGTTCCCGTTCTCCATATTCCCGATCGAGATCAAGGTCACCCTGTAGTAGATCCTCTTCAAGGTAGGTACCGCAAATTCGCGTATGATCATTGTAGCTAATAAGACAAACAGGGAAAACAATAAGAAACTTATGGGAAAGAAAGAAAAAAAAGCAAGAAGTAACTTAATCCAGTGCAACTCATTCTATTGCTCCTGAGCTCATTAACTCTGAAGGTTACAGGTTTGCTACAGAAACACTTGTTTCCAATATCCTTTGAATTTGCCAGGTTTACACCTTCTGAGCGGAGGCAGTCAGGTCAGAGGCAAAGCAATTGGTGAGAGATGTACACAACTAACCTTCCCCATTATCTGTGAGCTGCCTGGTGCCAATCTTGCTACAGCCTCTATCAGAGGGACTTGACAATGGCTGACTGTCTGCTCTGTGTTACCCTCAATAAGGAAAATTACTGAAGGGCCAGGAGGGGAGAAATCACTTGAGGCCCCTTAGTTGACTAGGAGATTGCAAACTGTCACTGGAAAATCCCACCGGTAGCTTAGAAGAAATTGTAAGTTCAGGGAAGAGGTAGAAAATGGTGTCAGTAGACTCGAATGGAATGACAGAGGTGAATGTGTTTCTTCCTGCAGATCTTGTTGCTATTGTGAGTCCAGCCACTGTAGACACCGAGCACACAGAAGTTCTCCCTTAGGTGGAAGATCGCGGTCCAGATCGCCGTGCAGTCGCAGACCCAGGTAGTGCCTTCGCCCTGCATTTGGTGTGCTTTGCAGCTGTTCCTCAGGGGAGAATTGTAGAATCATAGAATCATTAAGGCTGGAAAAGACCTCTGGGTTCGTTGAGTCCAGCCTTTGGCTAAACACCACCACATCAACTAAACCGTAGCATGACGACTCATTTCTTGATCACTTCCAGGGATGGTGACTCCACCACTTCCCTGGGCAGCCCATTCCAATGCCTAACAACCCTGACAGCGAAGAAATTCTTCCTGGTGTCCAACCTGAACTTCCTCTGGTGGAGTTTGAGGCCATTTCCTCTTGTCCTTTTTCTAACTGCCTGGGATAGTAAAGCATTCCAGAAGCTGTATTTCTAATTTTACATTCACAAATACAGGTGCTTGATTTGATGACCAAGTTGTGTTTCCTAGATATGACAGCTATGAGGAATATCAGCATGAAAGGCTGAAGAGGGAAGAATACCGCAAAGAGTATGAAAAACGGGAATCTGAAAGGGCCAAGCAAAGGGAGAGACAGAGGCAGAAAGCAATTGTAAGCACTGTAAAGATAACTTTCATATTGAAATAGATATCTGTTTCTTTTCATGGATTCTAATGCTACAATTCAGACTTTATTTCTTTTTTATAAAAATACAAAAATTTGCTTACATGTATTTCTTAATATTTTTCATTTTAAGCAAATATGTATTTTCATAATAATTTCTGCTTTGGTGTCACACTACTAATTTTTTCAGGTTCTGTAAATTGCAACTCTCCAAGTTTTTCACCCTAAACAGATCAGAGAACTTACTAGACAAAGGGGTCATCCCAGACAGGACACTAATAGAAGAGAACTAATCTATTTCTTATACAGATAAATGAGTGAACCTGCCTTTTATACTGTATTTCACCTACCAGACATACACGAAATAAGGAGTCAGGTGATGTACCAGTTGCTGAACTCTCAGAGTGGCTGTAATTGTCTATACAGAGGGTGCAGACAACAGAACTCAAAACTGGGATCCAAAGACTTGGCTTGAATTATAACTTTTTCAATGTCTGTGATTTGGTTAATTTTTTAAAGTTATTTTTAGCAAAATAGTCTGAAGACAAGATGCAATTTGAAAATGTCACTTAGCACTGGCCCTCTCGTAATGAATATGTATTATTTAATTATTTTATCAGTGTTCTCTATGAAATAGCTAAAATACCTGAAGCAAAGAAAATAACCCATGTGGGGATAGGCAATTGTCTTGGCTGCTGTAGCAGTAGGACAGAAGGAAGAATGGCTATTAAATGGATGGGTGGCTTTTTCCCCTTTTGAGTTCCCCAGTGGCAACTGCATTTTGATAAATTAAACTGAGAGCTGCTGTAAATCTGCTGCTGTAAAAGTTGCTAAGCCCATTTGGTGTCTCACCTTCACATTTTGATTTTCTGTGTCCTGCTCTTTCCATTGGGTTGTACCTACACAGCTCTTCTGGCTGTGCTCTGGCTCTTGCATGACCTGGTACAGACCAGGATACTTCATCTTCGTTCCCAGGTTTTCCATTAGTGCTCTGTTCAGAGGTCACCAAAATTAATAGGTCTTTTTCACAGTGACATTAGTGGACTTTGTAGCAAAAGGTGGTTTGTCACACATTTGGCAGCATTTCTCCTAATGCACCTACAGAACCAGGAGTGTGTAGAGATTGACAGAGACTGGCATAGTCTACAGCAATGAGAAGTTCTGTGAGTGAACAGACAACTTTATGGTCTGCTTTTTTTCTCTGCTGCTGTTGTTCTTTGTGAGCTTCAGCAAGTCATTTCACTTTTCTCCATTTCAGGTGTCCTATCTGCAAAGTGTGTAACATGCTCTGCTGTGAAATGCAGTGATGGCAGTGGAATAATTTTGTTTGGCTTCAGACAGGGCCATATTTAAGTCAATTGTTGCAGTTAGTTTTAAAATATCTGCCTTCCATCTGCTTAGAGATGAACACTACCTTCCAGCAATCGTAACTTACACTTGCTGTTCTCTCTTAGAGCTATCACAAATTAGAGATTCAAGTAGACTTCTGTCATAGGTGTATCTTGCTACTTCTCAATTACTGTACCTTGCCCATATAAATAAACATGAATCCTGCTGAGGAGGTAGAAAATTTGATTTAGTTTAAAACAAACAAATATTTGGCAAGTAGCTAATCAAGAGAAAAGGAAAAAGGAAAGAAAAGAAACTTAAAAAGCTCCAGATATGCTGCATCATGCTGCATTAAAAATTCCAGACAATTCAAAACCAAGATTGAATTTATTTTCTTTCTAAAGTGATCATTTTGATTATAATTAACTTAATTAATTGAATTATTTATTAATAGGCATAAATAAATCAAAACTAAAAATAAATATCAATAAAGAGAACATGGCAGAAAATCTAAAATCCAGTCATCTGTGTGAGTTCTGCAGGAATTGTAGACTAAGTCCTATTAATTCCTTTATCCAAAGTCTACCAGCACTTATACTTTAAAAGTCTGTATTGAATTGTGCTATTTTATACCCTGTGAAAACAGGTAAGGATTAGGAGACAGCAGAGAAAGGGGATCTCTGATCTCATTAATTCAGTGACAAAATCTGTATCTATAATTTCTAGCATTCTCTGCTCTTTTTCTTATGCCTTTTGGTTTATGGGTCTCTTTTGTGGTACTCTTTTCAGTCTTGAGGGACTCAACTCATTTATTGTTCAGCCACAAGAATGTCCTCTCTTTTTTTCCTTGAGCTCTTTCTACAGTCCCATAAATTTAGATTTCTTTGCTCTCTGTATTGGGGAATTTTTTATTTTCTTTCTAGCTCATTCTCGTGCTGCCGGATCTGATTTATGGCCACATACTTGCAGATGCTGTTAGAAGAGTGGCCCAAAGATTGGGCACTACTAATGCCTCAGTTATTACACAGGGCAGGTGACTTTCTTCATGAGAAGCACTGCTCTGAGATCTCAAGAGTTAGTTGTAGAAAGGATGCACAGTAAAAAAGGAGCAGAAGTTGTGACGGAGCCAAAAGTCATTCAGTATTGTGGGAGTAGTATCTAGAATTAGTCTCTGGGACAATAGGCATGGGAAACCTTGGAAAAAGAAATGAGAAAAAATAATATTTTAACATCTTTTAATCTGTGAAAACCATGTTTGAAGCAATGCCCTCTGATTGTGCAGGCAGCTTGTATTTTGGCAGATGTGAAGACATATTGACAGAATACTGAGGAGAGTTAGAAGCACAGGCTTAGGTTTTAGAAGCTTGTGCTCCTGCTGGATGGCACAAGCATGTTTGAACACTGCCCCTTCAATCTCACACACAGCACCTTGATTGTAGAATATTCAGAGCTAGAGGCCTGGAATAGTATTTTCCTGTATAGATTCCTGAATTCCTGTCCAGACTTATAACTGTGTACAGGTGGTTTGGCTTCAAAAGGTGCAGTGATATTCTTCTCATCTTCTTTTTCTTCTTTCCCCCTCTCCAGTTACTGGAGATTCATTGCCTTTTTTGTGGATTGAGGTCTTAATTTTGAGCAGGCATGCCTGAAAAATATGGACTGGGCCTACAAAGTACTTAGAGAGTTTAAAAAAATATTTTTGTCAGTCATTCATTCGTTCACTTATTTATACTTTTGATTGTGATTCCTTTCCTAACTGACCAGATGTTAGCACAGTTTAGTTTGATCTTTTCTTGTTTTATTTCACTGGGTCATGGGGTTTTTTTTAGAATGGATCCTCACTGAGCATAAGAATGGTGAGCCACCAAGACCTGCCTAACCATGTCAGCCAGATCATAGTGGAGACACATGGACTATGACTTGAGCATTGCAGGACAGCAGAATCTGCTTAGTGCTTTGTGGAAACTGGGATCCAACCCCCAACCCAGGCAGACCACAGTGATTTGCTAAGAGGCTTGAAGACCCCTTTTTTCCTCTGATACACTCCAGGAAATTTTTGAATTGTGTGGGCTTTTACTCCAGCAGTTCATTAGACCATGTGCCAAATACACTTCAAAGCATGGCACTAGACATAGCACATTCCAATTCTGGAGTCACTAGTTGGTGATTCCTCGTTGATATGGTGTACCAGGGCTGGAGGTTAAGCTGTCTGATGAGCAGCTTGGTGTTGTGGCTCTTTGCTACTGTGCCACTCTGGCCATGATACTGACTTACAGCACATCCTTCACGCAGCTCATTTACTGTGTGCTCTGGCTACTGCCAAGAGGTATAGCAAAATCAGGTTATACTCAAGTAGAAAATTACAATTAACAATACCAATTTTCATTTCTAAATGCTGGCAGCCTTTATGAGAAAAGTATCGAGAGTACCAGTCCCAGGGAGCTTACAGACATAAAAAGATAAATGTGCTGTGAGGCCACTGTATCAGAAAGAAACACATGGTTTCAAAGAAAATAAATTGCTCTAAAACAGGAAGCCGGGAGAAAGGTGGTTTCATAAATGAGTGTCTGCCTTCTCGAAAGTGTAAAACCAGAGTTAGCCTGTAATAGAATGCATTTCCACTTATGAAAGATTCAATGTATATTGTATATTTAGTTTGTATTTTTTTGTTGTTGTTGCTCATGTTGATGGCCTAGATCCCAGATACTCTAATTTTACTGTATATGTTTCTATCTAAATTTTGAGTTTTACTGGTCCATCATTATTTTTCTAGCAGTCACCATGTGGAATTTCTCTGAACTGTTCTGAACAAGATAATAATCTTGTTTGGGTTTTTTCCCCCAGTTTTTGTGATTTTTACTTTTGCCATTCATACTTACTCACAGGCCATACTAATTTTTCTTTTCTCAGTCTAAAGAATTTTTTTCTCATTATTGTTACATCAGAAGCTTAAGCTTTAATGGCTTATCTCCACCCATAGCATTTCTGGTTTTGCAACTCTGTCCAACCAATCCCATTGCGTTTTCAAAATGGTATTTGGCCTTCAGCTCTAAGGATAAAAGTCTTCATGGCTTAAAGTCTCTGCTGGCAGAGAGGTCATTTGGCATGGGAGGCAACACAGACATGGAGTGTGTACCCAGCCAGACACCTGTGCTGGAGTGAGCAGCAGAGCCTCTACAAGCCAATAACAGAACCCAGCTTTCAAATGCTCCTGGATTTCTTCTCTCAGCTTCACATAAAGCATTACCTGGCTCTTGGAGAACTAGGTATGCCCCACAGACATGCAGGCAAAAAATGGTAGGAGAAATGGGAAAAGCATCACCACAGGCAGGCAAAGATAACAACTGTTGGGGGAAGTAGGAAAAAAGACCAAGGGAAAACTAATACATCTAATGGTGTGTGTTTAGTGAAATAATGATGAAATAAAGACTTATGAATAAGGAAGCAGAAAGAAAATAAAGTTTTGGAGGAATCCTTTGCAAGACAAAAAGATCCTTAGCATCAGTCAATATTTAGAGGATGAGCAGTCCCTTTATTGACCCTTAAATGTGTAAGGTGTATCCCAGTCTTGTTTTCTCATATTTTGTTATTCTAATGCTTCAGGATTTTCATTTGAGACTTAAAATACTGCTTGTCAGTCCAAGATTTTCTGTCACATCTTTCTATCAATTTTTTTTTGCTGCCATGAAGAAGGAGCAAGGTTGTGAAAGAAGACAGAGATGTTAGGCCTGAGGGAGTTGGCTGGACTTATTCTCTTTTTTCTAACCTGGCAGATCAAGGAGCCACACTTAATGCTTATGATACAAAATAAATCGCGCACTTTTGGGAGGGAAATATGAACAAGTAGCTTCTGGTGTTTCCTGCAGGTTCCCTCTGCCCATATGAAATTGAAAACAAAAGCTTCTCTCTGCCCTTCTTTAGGTTTTCAAGTCATCAATCATATCCTCTAACAACTGCAGTAAGCATTTTACTTATATGCCTATATAGATGTACACATGTAATTTATTATTAAAAAAAGGTCCTTAACATTTAGGGATGTGTTGCAATCTTGTTAGGCTTCTATAGCTCTTATTATTAATGGGAATAAAAGGAAGGCATCTCTATGAATATTAATATTCATAGTTGCTTTAAATAATCCAGGGTTAACCAAGGCAAAGACAATTCTGTGTGAATCCTGTATTCTTGGGTATCTTATTCCATCATGGCATTCTGCTTAAAAAAATACTTGAACCCGTCTCCTCATATGTGCACAGTGGAGGACATATGGTGCATTTCAGCTTTAAATTTGAATTTCCTTGATTTTGCAGGTTTAACTTATTCCCTTAACAGTACTTCAGCAGGCTTTTTTTTTTTAATTGTTCAGTTTTGGTTTATTACAGTTGTCTTAAAGGGATATTAGAGATATAAAGGTTATTAGAGGGATAGAAGAAGGGAAAATTGCACAGGCATGCAGATAGACTTATGGAAGAGTGTGCAATAGATATTTCCATCACACTGTAATATAACAATCTCCATGTCAGTGAGTGAAACATTATGTTTTTTTCAGTTGAGATGTATTATCTCAGCTAAAGTATATTAGGCAGTCTGCTGTGTTATGTTCTGCTCCATCTGGTCAGTCATTTAGGTTCAATAGCAAGTATCAATGGAATTGTTTCTTATCAAGTGTTTCAGTGCGGTTAAATCCTTGATTTGGTAAAACAGTCTGAAAAAGTAATTACTCTGCATATGCAGATTTTCCTGGTTTTGAAATTTATGGCACCCAACCATAGTGAAAGTAAGCAGAATTAGAATGTGGAAATGGAAGAAATGCAGATTTCTGTAGCTGGCACTCTACAGTCCCTGGTTCACAGAAGCCCTGCCCCAACTCCTCTGTCAGGAAGGTCAGGGCTGTGGACTGGGACACAGTGGAGACAGAGATAAAAAGCAGCAGCTGTCTGGAAAGTACCCTTGTGTCCTAAATGTATGGCTGCCCATGAGCACAAGTGCTTCTTTTAGCCATGCCAGCTTCTCCAAACTGCACTGCTGCGGCAGAGAGCAAGGGCAGCTTTTGGACCCTGTGTTTTGGAAGGTGTAGCATTTAAAAGTGGATGTGTCTGTCCCAGCATGGTTACAGAAGACTATGAAGGCACTCACCTTGGTTCCTTACATCATCAAAAGAGACAGTAGTTTCAAGTGTCTAAATTAGATCCTTACCAGGTCCCCCTGATTAAGGAGACGATACATTTTTTGGTAAAGCAACCAAGGACTCCGCTGGGCTGACCAGGGACCTATAAGGGACACAGGTAATTCTTTGTGCCATTCCTTAGTGGGTAGGGCTTTTGGGTAGGAATGTTTGATTCTTGAATCTCTGTTTTCTGCAGTTTTAAACTTTCATTTCTCAGGAGCTTCGATTAACTGGATCTTAGCCCCTGAGATTTGTGAGGCCAGGAAAAGAGTCAGTGGAAATAGTTTACTGAATGTGCTAGTAAGAGTTTCTGTTGGGAGACAGATATTTTAGTATTGGCTTCCTGCTGCTGGAATTGTTTATTTATTTTACATTAAATAGTTCCTGAGAGCAAAGTGCTCTCCTGGGAACAGGAAGACAAGATTTCCAGCACCCCAAACTAAGAATTCTGATGGTCTCTTTATCTCAAATGAATACTCAAACAAGTAAAGAAGTGACATCAATATAATTTCTGATTTTACCTGTGTTTTGGTCTGATCTCAATTGTATTGTCCATGGTCCAAGAGTGACTGGTGCTTTAAGCCTCTGTGGGGACTCATGGAAAAGATACATTTCATGCTATATCTGAATTGTAACACTATAAACTACCTGTCTCTTCAGGCTAGAATGTTTCTGAGCAGGAATGCAAGTCTATATTTAGGTCCCTAGTGCCTTTTGCGTTGCACAGTTGAGGTGCCATTAGCCTTTAGGCACCTCCAGGTTACGATAGTCATGAATTCTCAGCAGTCAGTGTAGCTCCTTCGGCATTCGGCACCTAAATTCTGCACAAGTCTCAGGTGCCAAAGCTGATGGTTTAAACTGACATTGCTGTGCTGACTGACAGATTTATGCCAGCTGAGAATGTGCTGGTGGTGGATTTATGGGGCTGCTGCGTGGGTGTGTAAGGGATGAGCAGCAGGGCCAGTAGTGCCAGGCCAGAGGCAATCGGAGACAGGAAGGCTGAGCACCCAAGCCTTGTATAGCTGGTGCTTCTTTGCCCTGGCTACCTTAAGGTCAGTGTTTTAAAGATTTCCTTTTTCCATTTTCTTTTCTTGCAGCTCACTAAATGACTCTGCCCTCAGAAGTGTTTATCCTAAAATTCATGAAGTGGCTCTTAAAGAGTTTTCTAGTCCTTCCCTCATTTGATTGAGCATTTGCACTAAGGAAGGAATGATACCACCACAGCTTGATTGTTATAAAAGTATCTCATGCTTTGTTCCAGGTGCTGAAAGAACATGCAGAAGAGACCCTAGCCTAGGGTCTTCGGTCAGGTGGTTTTTATTCTGAATAAACCAAAAGGCAGTGGTGACTGTGGGATGTATTTTACTTCCTGCCATTCCCCCTGAAATGTTTCTTTTAATAAAAGGCATATTTTGGACCCAGTCCTGGTTTCTGCTGGCATAGAGTTAATTTTCTTCTTAGTAGCTACAATAGGTACAGCACAGTATTTTGGATTTAGTATTAATGTTGATAAGACATTGATGTTTTAATTGTTGTTAAGTAGTGCTTACTCTGAATGAAGGAGTTTCCAGTTTCCCATGCTCTGCCAGGGAGCAGGTGCAGAAGATGCTTGCAGGGAGTGTGGCCAGGACAGCTGACCTGAGGTGGCCAAAGGGATATTCCATACCATGTGGCAGTATATATTCCATACCATATGCCCAGTATATAAACCAGGGGGAGTTGGCTGGGAGAGGCAGAGCACTGCTCGTGGATGGGCTGGGTGTTGATCAGAAGGTGCTGCACTGGTTTCTTTTGGGTTTTATTCCTCTCTCTCCCCTTTTCATTACAATTACTGTCATTATAATTATTACTATTATTATATCTTTCTTTGTTTCATTTATTAAGCTGATCTTAATACAGATGTTTCACCTTTTTCTGGTTTTTCTCCCCATCCCACCAATGAGCAGGGAATGAGCTAGGGGCTGCGTAGTGCTTAGTTTTTGGCAGGGGTGACAATCTTAAAAAGTTTTCCCTCTGTTTAAAAGTATGAATTATGGTGAAACAGGATTGCAGGATGAATCAGCCATTGAGTCATATGAGCTTATAATGTTATGCTTGTAATGCATTTTGTTATGTCTGTGGTACACTTATGCAATTATTGTGTTACTTTATGCTACTCTGCAAGATGAGTTTTGCTTGGTATTCTCTACCTGGCACGAGAAAGGGAGTTCCTAGTTTGGAAGAGTTTGCAGTCCTGGAGGGGAACAGGTAGAAGGGGTGAGAGGGAAGAAGGTGCAGTGGGATACAAGGGGAAGCATCTGTCAGTGTACAGAGCAGTAACAGCAATCAGTGAACCCTTCCCACACCACCTGACAAATGTAGGGTCACTTAAATACCTTAGATGCTTTCCAGGAGAGAACTATTTCATGTTCGTGCAAGATGCAGTAGGCCTTCCACAAAAGAATGCTTCTATAATAATGCATCCTCTGCACATCTGTGTGTGTTTTGCATGCATGAATGTAAAGGTTCATCTCTATTTCACATTTGTTAAAAGAACACCTTCCCGGTTGCTCTCTATCAACAGGAAGAACGTCGTGTGATTTATCTGGGTAAAATCAGACCTGACACAACCCGAACTGAACTGAGGGACCGGTTTGAAGTTTTTGGTGAAATTGAGGAGTGCACAGTAAATTTGCAGGATGATGGGTAGGAACTTTTGAGATTACTTCTTGTTTGAGAGCTGCCATATGTAAAAAATTATGGCAGTGAGATTACTGGTATGGGAGTTACCAGTATAAGTCCTGTGACAGATGACATGCTGAGTTCAAAACCTTACTTATTTTCTTTCATCCTTATTTATTAATCTTGCTAGTTGAAATTTCCTGTCCCAGAAATAAGTATTTAGCTGCATGACAGGACAATCATGCTGATAAATGGATGCAGTACCTCTGGCATTTCCACTGCTGGGTCTCCGGCAAGTTCTTGCTTTCAGGAAGGGGTTACACTAATGTGTGTTAACTCTTCTCAGCTTTTGTTCACAACTGTATTTTTCAATGGCAGAGACAGCTATGGTTTCATCACCTACCGCTATACTTGTGACGCCTTCGCTGCTCTTGAGAATGGATACACTTTACGCAGGTCAAATGAGCCTGATTTTGAGCTGTACTTCTGTGGACGCAAGCAGCTTTGCAAGTCTAACTATGCAGACCTAGGTAGGTATTTTGCTCTATGTGAATTGAAATACCTAACAGGAATCTTGTAACTCATGAGAATTTAGGGTTTGCTTCTTTTTTGTTTACTGCTGATACCCTTTAAATGATTGGAGGGGTGTTGAAGAAAGTGCTTTTCACCTGCTGTAAGAAGTTTAAAAGTCTACTAATCTGAGCTGGCTTCTTTCAAATATTCCAAACTGAATATTCTTTTAAAGCCCATTTCCATCATTATCAAAAATAAGCGCCCAATAATCAATAATACATTTCTAAATTGAAAAGATAGCACTGCAGAAACCTCCCACATGCTTTAATGTTTATTGCTATAACTGTTTGATTCCACTACCTCACTTATGTATATGAGAGATATGCAGAGGACAAAGTATATGCCCCAACCCAAAATCTTCATTATGATTCTTACTTTGCTATGAGTTCTGTTGTAGATGGGCAGTATTTGCCAGGGGCACTCATTAAACACAATTCATAGTTGCTCAAGTTTGAAAGCTAGAAGAGCTTGTGGCCAAATCTGACCCTTAGTGTGGCAAAAGCCACTGATCTCAACTGGTGATTCTAAAATTGTGCATAAGCATCTATGTGTATGAAGGTGTCTCCTTGCAGGGCCTTCCAGTCGTGATGTCAGAGGCTCCAGCCTGTGGAAAGCTTAGCAATTCTCTTGGTGTTTGAAGTTCTACTGGTGTGGGGCTTTATGCATAGCAGTCACCAGCCCCCAGTATGCTGTGATAACTCCAGTCCCAAGTGTGCATGCTGGCTGTGACAACACACTTGGGTCTGTCTGAGTCTTGCCTGGGCAAAAGTCTGTGATTCTGTCCTGTGCTCCAAGTCAGGGTGTGGTGCTTCCCCTTGCAAGGATTTTTGAAGAAGTTCAAAGTCTTCCAGCAGGAATACTGATGTTAAGTATATGTGTAAAGAGATTATGCAGACTACCAAAACAGCCTCTGTAATATTACAATATAGGATAAACTCACCTCTTATTTAATTACCTTTTAAAATGTAAAGTATTCATTAAATGTTAAACCTTTCCTAATGCCTGTATAAATAGACTAAAGGCATGGAAAATACTCTTTTCTGAATTACATAGCAAGGCACATTTTTGCTGTTGAATCTGTATTAATCAGATATTGTAGATTTTTTAATGAATAAATGACCACAGTCATTAAAATCTCTCATAACCCTGTAACACAGTGCTAATGAAATCTTGTATGTGCTGCCCTCGGCTTTGTACAATGCAGGAAGTGAATGCAGATATATTTTTCCTAACCAATTGATGTCTTTTCAAAATAAATTATGAAGATTGTATGCATTGTTCACAATGAATATGCTATAATTCACTTCAGTGGCTAAACAGAGAATATAAAGCTAAGAAAAGGCAATTGACTGCTGAAGAGATACAAGGTTGATGTAGAAAATATAAAAGGTAGCAAGGCATTTGTTGAAATGTAGGCTGATAAAAACAGTAAACCCAGATTAAAGTCTTGCCTTGATTTGACTTATCTTCAGCAATGGAAGCCAAGGTCATCTCTGTATCTCAGAAAATCTGGGGTTTAAAGTAAGTTGTCTGAAGGGAGCCCTCTTGAACATTATTCATCACTGGGAGTATTCCCTGTCAACTCTCTCCATTGTGAGAGGGATTCCCAGAGTATCTGTGAGCAGACTGTTTTCACTTTGTCCTGCTGACAGCTTGAGCTTCTGTACTTCAGACTGCATTCCCTGTATTTCACAGAGTATCGGATAGAGCAACATAAGGAAATGGCAGGATGAACTTTAAAATTCATGAGCTGGTACCAGGACAGAGAGAATTAATCAGCTTTGGGTTGAGTACAGAAGAAAGAAAACACTTGAAATAGTAGTCAGAAGTTTAACACCTCTCCTCTGTGAGAAGATATTGTCTTAGCGGAACTTGTAATGAACATTTAATGCGCAGTGTGTCTTATAGCGGTAGATGGGGAGTTCTGATTAATTCAACACAAGAAAGGGCACTCACATAAAGGAGCTGTGACACAGGAACTGGTGAGAGTCAGTGTTAAGCAGGGTTGACTCCAAAAGGAAATTCATTGCTTGCAGCCATGTCAATAATTGTACTGGAGTTGTGTGGCCCCAAATGTACAATCCCTCCTCTGTGCTGGGAACAGACTGACGTCCGTGCCTGAGCAGCTGACAAAGCTGGAACAGGTATCCTAGGCTGCAGGAGCTGGGCTGTTGTTGCTGCTGTGGCTTATCACACACATGTGATGCAGAAAGCTGAAGAGCCCACCTGAGACTGCTCAGCCTTGCAGAGGCCCTGCCCAGAATTGCTCACACTCTAAACAAGCAAACCCAAAAAGATAAATTGGAGCAAACCCAGAGATTCTGGCAGGCGTAAAGCATTCCACAGACCCCCAGGCAAGGTGGGCTCTGTCCTCTGTATGCTGCTCACAGACTGCTCTGGCTTTCTTCAGAACCTTTCTTAGGAAAATTAAGTCTTGGACATGTTATGAAACAGCAGTTGCAAGACAAAGGTGGAATTTTGATTAAGGTATCTGTCAAGATTATCTGGACTACTTTGAGACATATACATGAGTCTTGGTGCTCAAGTCTTGAGGAAACTGTTCTGAGTTAACCTGCTCTAAATGTATATGCAATTAGTGGTTCTTCCCTACTACTGATGATGGGTACCACTTTTGTTAGGTGCTGCTTCTTACCAGGAATGTCTAAAGCTTCTGTGATGGTCATTGCTAAGCTTTTTCATCCCATAAAGTTGTGGTTGTAAGTGGATTGTTTCTTCAGCGTCTTGTTTGTACCGATACACAGAGAAAATAAGTAGTTCTTGCCTCTTACCTAAACTTGCATATTTTGGGTTTCAGATTCAAACTCAGATGATTTTGATCCTGCTTCTACTAAAAGCAAGTATGACTCCATGGATTTTGATAGTTTACTCAAAGAGGCACAGCGGAGCCTGCGTAGGTAACAAGCATGTCATCCGAGGAAAACAAAGGGATGGCGAATACCTCACGGACATCACGTCCTTCAACAATGGACAACTGCAAAGTCGTACTTAGGAATTTCTCCTACTTTACACTCTCTGTTCAAAACCATGGTTTACATGAACACAGCTGCTCGAGGAGTGGAGGGGCAGGGTGCTGCCCAGCAAGCACACGCGTGGCCATGGGTGTCAGCCGCGCTCTGGCGGGGGAGCCAGGCGTCCCTGGCGAGTTCAATGCAAATCACGAGACATGGCAGCAGTTCCACAGAGATACACGTACAACGATGAACTGCAAAATCTGTACATAGTGCATTTTAACAAAAAGAACTAAAACAAACAGAGAAAAAAACCCCAGTGTGAGAACTACGGCTGCTGATGTCTGGGGATCAGACACTGCATATTTTTTTTTTGTAAAGAAGCTTCTTCTCACGGTGATAATATGACAATCCAGAAGAAACCACAGGTCCCAGAAGCCTGCAATCTGTCTTAGCTTTGTTTTAAGATTGTTCTTTTTTTGGTTGGTTTGTTTTTTGGGTTTTTTGTGGGTTTTATTTTGCAGAAAAGAAAATTAAAAGGCTCAAGCTTCCCTAACATTTTGAAGTTTCATCTTTTAATTCTGACACCCATGTAAATGTCTACAACATTGATCTTCCACAGCAAAATTTTCAAAGCCTTGTTAATGGTCAAATGTGCAGCTTGTTCAGCGATTTATTCTAATGAGCGGACGTGGTGTTACATTATTAATGAGAGTTGGATATAACTATCTGGGTGTGTGCACAGATAGTTTATTTGCTACATTCTCTAAAGTAGTTGATTATTTACAAATGTTAAATGGAGTATTTTTATTTATGTACATACTGTATGACGATGTTCTTTTTTGTTACAGCTATGCACTGTAAATGCAGCCTTCTTTTCAAAAACTGCTGAATTTTTCTTAATCAAGAATACTCAAATGTAATTATATGAGGTGAAATAATTATTGTACACTAACATATGTAGAAAGCTGAACTTACGCTTATATATATTTGATTGTAAAAAAAAAGAGAAAAGCGTGTGGGTGAGGGTGTGAGTGTGCATATGTGTGCATGTGTGTCTGAGTGCAAAAATGCATTATACACATTCATCCCTTCTTTGGTGAGCTTATATAAGAATTTTGTCAAGAATTATCCTAGCCCAAAAGATATTAACCACCTTCTGCAGTATTTTTCCACATTTTTCTCATTGCTTGATTTTCCTTTGCAGTTTTATACACTGAATTTGTTAGGGGAATGAAATTTTCTCATCTAAATTTTTCTAGAAAATATCATAATTTTATGTAAAGTCTCTCAAATGGGTAATCATTAAGAAATGTTTTTATTTTATGTATCAACAGTAGTTTTGGAACTAGAGGTCAAAAATCTTTTTAAAATGCTATTTTGTTTTAATTTTTGTGATTTTAGTTTGATAAAAATATGCTGAGGTACTAAGTACAGTATGATTTTTACTGTAATTCTGTGTCTAAACACTGTTCTTGAAGCCAGTAATCTTTTCATTGGCAGAGTTTAATGATGGTATTTATCTATATTTTTTACAGTTATGCATCCTGTATAAATACCAATCCTTCATTCCTTTGTTTACTAAAGAGACATATTTATCAGTTATAATTATCCTATTTATTATAAATTATGAGATGACTAAAAGAATAAAAAGGCCAGTGGAAATTTTATACCTAGGATGCATGATGGTTGTCAGTTTGGAGTAAGCAAGTGCTTTGTTTGGAAATTCCACTTTTGCAGAAGCAGTGGGTTGGTTTTGGTTTTTTTCCTTTTTTTTTTTACTATGCACTAGCATGGCCTCAAATGTGCCCATGACGTTGCTGATGACATTGCTTCTGTTAAATTAAATAGAAATTTCAGGAAAGAAAAAAACCACAAGAGTATAAACTACTGCTATTCTGAGCATCAGAATTTTATCTGAACTCGGAGTCTCTACTGAATCAGCAAAGTTTGGAATTTGCTTGTGAATGTATAGATTTCTTATTCTATTACTCTTTGGCATTCATGACTCCTCTTAAAGGTATGGCACACCTAACTATTTAATCTACCTTCCCTCTCCAAATTTTAGAAAACTGATTCTACCCCCATACCAGTGCAGTTGATTCTGATGGCTGCATTCATTTTATCACCAGCATATTGTGTTCTGAGAGATTCCACTGTCTGTCCTGTCGGATGCTTGCTTGATTTTTTGGCTTCTTATTTCTCAGTAGATAGATAGCAATAAAACAAAAAAAAAAAAAAAAAAAAAGAAAAGAACTTTTCTGGAAGTTCTGTGTTACAAATGTAACATCCTTTACTCTGCATAATTCTTGTTGTTGCTCTGTAGGTTAAAAATGCAGGTATTTTAACTTTGTGTGAATGCCAAACTAAAAGTTTACAATTTTCCTTTCTGGATTTTGAGTATCTTCTGTTGTAAAGAAAAATATTAAAAGCAATAAATTATTTTTAAGAAATCAATATTTAGTATATCATATTATGTGTTCAAGGACCAGATGCATTACCTATTTTGCCTTTACATTTCTGTCATTAAATTTTAAAATGTTCTCTTTTGCCCTAGATTGCTGACATTAAGAAATTGGTGTGGGGTTTGTGTGGGGGCATTATTTATTTTTCACCAAGCACGCATAATGAAGTGAGTCAAATTTTTTTTTCACTGGCCTGGCAAACATTTTCATCTTGAAGATGGCTTTCCTCTGTGGATTTACAAATTACATATGAAATTAATAGAGCTAGGATTGCTGAATAAAGCTGTTTGGATCTTTCATAGACACTGTGGTAGGAAATCCATCAAAATATAAATTCAGTGTTTACTTTTCTTTTTTTCTTCCCCTAGAACATTTCAAATTAGCACATGTACCACATTGTCACCAGAGGCAAATTGCAGTATAGCTGTGTGTGTTTTTTATAAGACCGTACTGTTGCTTTCATGCTGTGGTAAGTACCACATCCACAATACAGGTAACAGAACTGGTACTTAGGAACTGTGGTCTTTTCTAGAGCTGTAACTGAGGAATTCCTACAGAATGGAAAATTGTCTAAATACTAATCCAAGCAGAGGGAGCCTGAAGTTGAAGAAAAATATCTGTGCTAAACTACTCTGAAAAGCAGTTAGGCTGCCATCACCAAGAGCAGCACTGAGAGGAAAGTTTGTGCCTCTGGGATAATAATACTTGGGTCAGTTAAAAAAAAAAAAACAACAAAACAAACCAACAAACACAACCACACCTCCTTCTCATCCCTTTAGATGTAAGCCTACAGTAGGTAATAATTATGTGTCCTTCTTAATGGCTGTAATGAGAACTTCAATCACTATAGCAGTATAAGATCTGATCTATAAATGAACTAGAATAGCCATGTAATATAATGTGATGATTCTAAATTTGTACCTATGTGACAGACATTTTCAATAATGTGAACCACTGACCTGATGGAGCTACTGTAAGATTTGTACAGTAGGTGAACATGTAAAGTTGTGGGTTGGACTGTGCTGAACAGGGGAAGTGAGATAGTAATTAAGCCCAAGCTGGGCTGTTTTCCACCTGCCGATTCTACATGTACTTTTGTGGTTTAATTCATTGTATGAAAATTCCTGTGATTTTTTTCTTTTTTTTTTTTTTTAATGTGCAGTACACATCAGCCTCACTGAGAAAATAAAGGGAAACGAATGTTTCAAATCCATTTCTGTTTCTCATTCTTATTGCAGGTTTCCCCCCCCACAATTGGTTGTGTAGTGGGTTTTCTGTTGTTCTTTCTAGTGGACTTCAGATTATTGGCCAGAGCGTGCCTGCATTACTGCACTTTGTACAGGGGACAGCATCACCAGTTTTGATGTATTTAATGGTAGAAAGTGGTACCTTTCTGCCATGAGTACCCAAGTGCACTGAAGACCTGTGCCATATACCATGTAAGAAAACTTTCAAAACATTCTCAGTGAGTTTAAGAGTTATGGTTTGAGTTAGAAGGAGGTGGGGAATGTAAGGACTTTTCTGTCTGTCCATGCTGAATCCCAGTGCAGGTAGTAGGGACTGAGAAATGCGAAATGGTTGGCATCTTCCAACCTAAGGCAATAAACACCTGTTCTGGAAATAGGCCTTTCATGAGAGTTTTTCACCAGCCCGTGTCTCAGCAGACAGACCAGGAGGACCAGACAGGTAGGTGACAAGTGTGGCTGTCCTGACTCCTTTGAGGATGACACGGTGTGCACCACATGGGCTTCCACGGCGGCATTGCCACTGGGCAGGCAACTGGTAGGCTTAGGGATGGCAGAGGGTATTCACACCCCTCTCCTTTACATGCACAGAAATAGGGGAAGAATGGCTGTTGTTTGGTTTGCCAAGGGCTCATTCACAGGTAGCCATTTTACAGCTGCAGGCCTGTTCTGCTGTGACAGCAGCCTTCTCTGGGGACTCACAGCACAGCACCATGGGGCTGAGTCTTCTCGCCAAATGTCACCTCAGCAGGGACCCAGCTGCCATGTGAGGAGCAGGAGCTGGACAGCCTGGCTGTGCTTTTTAAGGAGATAACTACTGAATTCACTTGAAAAAATTGCTTTTCTCAAAACAATCAGCCTCCACCTCATCTCTCTTCCTAGCATTGCTATTTAATTTATGCTCCATAACTTGCAAAAATGTTTAGCTTTTGCATTTTTACCGTTTGCTAATCCAAACTGTTCTGCTTGGCTCTCGCAAGGGTGGTAGAGGGAAGTTCCTCACCCTGCAGGATTTGCGTTGTTGACTCTCTGATCAAATTAATACTCAAAACGTAGTAGGCCAAATCATTCCTGATGTATTTCATCAGTCTTGCTGCTGCTCCTCAAGGAATGAATTTAGCCCAATATTTCTCCAGTTAGTAGGCTTTCTAATTCCATTTGTTTATTCATTTCATATTTTTGCATAGCACTTTCGATGCTTGCCAAAAAAAGCACTCGACATTAGATTTCCAGGAAACTATTGCCTCCCATCTCTTTTTACATTATTAAAGTTTATTGCGTAAAATCAGGGCTTTCCATTGCCTGTTATCCTGGGTCACCATTGTTCCCCACAGTGAATATTGCAAGCTGAGCACCTGAAATCAGATTCAGGCACCTCAATGAGTGGCCTGATTTTCAGAAATGCTGAGCATCTCGCAGCTCCCATCTACTTCAATTAGACCTGCAGTCTCTCAGCACTTTCAAAAATCAAGCCACATATATAGAGCCCCAATTCAGCACAGCGTTTACATTTGTGCTTAAGTCTGTCCTGATTCAGCAAAGCACTTAAGCATGAGTGTTTTTAGATCCATTGAAGTCAAGTGCTCGGCTGCTTTGAATAAAAATAGACTCCTGGATTGGGGCCTAAGATTCCAAATACAGAAACTAACACCTAATTTTAGGCTTCATTTGGAAAACTGCCTCTCCTACCACCTTTAACCTTTAATGCTTACAGAAAACACAAAAATGGCCATCAGGTCTTAAGGGGAAGAGAGAGAGGTTTAGGGGAGAGAACTGGAAGCAATGGACAAAATTATTCCTTGAGGAAAATGTTTTGAAAACTTTATATTCAACTATTGCAAGACGCCTTGATTCATAGCTATTATTTCACACTGCGCTTCCAGGATCTCTTTGAAGATTAATGTGCAGTTATTCTATTGTCCTTCACCATTAATTAATAAATTGCTATATTAAACTTTAACCAATGCCAACTTCTTCTGCTTTTCTGCGAATCACGTTCTCACCATTGATATTCAATGTTCACAAGCAAACTAATCTATAAATCAATTTTCTCTGCTTTATCAAACAGCAGGAAGTAATAAAGAAGGTCACAAATAGTACAGTAGTTCCTTGGAGGTTTGTAACATCATAATTTAAAGCTCAGAAAGATTGAATCAAAAGTTGAATTAATCCCTAAGGGAAAAGATTCTATATAGATTCTATTGATAGATATAGGGCAGCCTGTCTTCATTGGGAGCTGGTATATTTGTTAATACTTCAGGGCAAAGGAGACTAGTCTTCTCAGCAAAGAAGAAAATGAAATCCTCCATGAGAGGAAGTGAGTGTGTCCTCTGCTTCCCATCGCTGTGCTCCCCTCACACGGCTCTGCTGGGAAAAAGAGAAAGCCAACTCATCCTTTGCTATGTGATGTGCTCTGCTGAACGGCTGGTGTCTGTGCAATGCAATTATGGAAACCAGCTGGAATACATATATAAATCTTAAATGTTGCTCTTGATTGGTGTTCATTCCTCAAATGATGCTCTTATTGTCAAACAACCTCAACCCAAAATCTTAGCAGCCTATGAACACAAAGCAAAGTGAAAGGTTGTTTTCTTCAATGACAAATTTTGATGAAGTTACACATACTTATTCTGCAGCTGGAAACATATTCCTCAAAACATGTTTAGATTTTGAGATTCCTTTGCATTATTGCAGCTTCCTTTTAACAGTCTTCTGGAATAATAGTTTTGCAAAGGCATTTCTGATTCTCTTTTATAAAAATTGTATATAATCTTTATGATGTGACTGGACCTGGTGAATTAAGCTCTTCCTAATTCAAATGGAATTAATTGGGAGGAAAATACTCTCATATAAAGGGGAATGTTTTTGTAAAAAGTTACCAGTGGTTCAGTTGAAAAAACTATATTCACGGGTTTGGTAAACAGTGAGATCTGAGATGAAATGCACCTTTGTTAGGCATGCAGGGTGAAGTACAGGATGATAGAAGGATTTTTGCTTTATACTGACTTCTGCTATTTGCTAGTAGAAAGGAACTGAGCTGCCCTGAGAAAAGGCAACAGAAGAGAAAACAGGTACTATTCCAGCCTCTCCAAAATCAGTGATTTAACTCTAACCCTCATCAGCCTTTTGCATTAACCCTGGCTTATGTAAATAGTGGGCAGTGATCAAAGGTAAATAATCTCATGTGCCTTATTTGCGTCATGGTAGATTGTCCGCCAGGTGTAATGTAAATGAAAGCCAAAGCTAAGTATGAAGTAAAACATGTCCTAAAGAGCAGAATGTGCAAATTTCTCTTAGGACTTTTCATCAAATAAAATATTTGCTGCAGTTTATTTTTGACAATCTGTTTCATTCTCTACTAAATTAGTACTTGATAAAGTAATAAAATTATTACAACCACAAAGTTACTGCACTATATCTTCAAGAGATCTTATCATCCTTGGATTATTGACTTTGGCATTGTGAAAAACACACATTGGTGCTTTATGCTAATTCTTTCCTACTGCATTTGCAACTCAGGCCTATGCTTTTTTATGCAATGTGTTTGCAGTAAATTTATTAAAAAAATAAAATCAACCCCACACTTGATAAACTAATGAAGTACTTTCTTGTTTTAACCATTTACTGGAACAATACCACAGCTAACTAGTTTTCTATTGCATGAATAATTTATTGTCATAGCTAAGCATGCCCTGGGTTATACACTCCTGCCAGCAAGTGTGGAGTGGTGAGTGCTGTTGCTGAATAA